ACTACAGTGTAGTTAAAGGAAAGGATATACTACTGTAGATGTTGCGGTTCAATTTTTTCCCTGGTTGAAATTTTGTTTTGGGAACTGTTAATGGATGATAACAAGTGAGAACCAAAGGGAAATAAAATTTAAACCAAGAATAAAATTGAACCACAACAAGTACGTTGTAGTTTAATTTACGACATTGATTTCGGATTTTCGGGGGAAGCGGTTGGGGGGATAGAGATGTCTACTATGCAAAAAGGGTTCCATTTCATGGAAATGTCTCAACACTTTTGTCCGTCATTGTCTGAATGCAAAATTTTGTAACTGCACACAGGTTAAGCATTGTGTGACAATGATATTGTTAACTCAAATTCAGTAAAACGGAGTCATGTTTTAGTTTAAATTATTGCTGGTGGGAGTGACATTGACTTAATTACGTCCAGGTCTAATACGAGTTACCTGATGACGTAACAAAACGGCTACGATTGTCAGAATTGACGGCGATATGCTTTTTAAGGGAAAAATTAACACTAGAACTCGCGCGTATGTACGATTTTTCGTAGAGTTCAAGGGTATGTGTACTAAAAAATTTAGATGAAGTGAATATTTCAGGTTCTTCACTTTATTGGATTGTACCAGCAGAAAAAAGTAACGGGCAGAGTAAAGATCGATAAGCAGAAAGAAAGTCATTGGGCGGCCACGGAAATTGATATTCCGTGTTTTAATTTTGGAATTGGCCGCTCTAAAACAAAAAAGAAGTTTCCAAATTGCTAGAAAAGGACCGGCAGTGCTGAGCGCTACCCAAAAAGAGTCCTGCAGCTACACAGGGGTACTTAAACTCCCGGTTTGAAGTCACCGGAAGTGAGTTTGTTCACTCGTAGCCCTTAGCACCTCCGGCTTTAGGGAATCTTAAAGTTTCTCAACCGATTTATACGCCCTGATACGGTCATTGTGAATTCTGCAAGAAATACCGTAAATCGGATTCCGCTTGGCTGATTTAGCGTTAAAAATGGCGGCGTCGGTTTAGTTAGATCTTGTTAGTTGGCCGATTCAGCAAGATAAATCCATAAAGTCAGATCTAATAAGATATAACCGGAAGAAAGGGATAAAAGTTGGACTTTAAGCGTACAAGGTAAGAAAATTAAGTTTGTTTATCACGGTTAACAAATAACCCTTCGCAAATTTGCATCTGAGCAGGCATTAGTTGGATGATCGATTGCTCCTACTACAATCATAAATACCAATAGTGATTACCTAGATTCGAATGCTTACAAGCCTTATTCTTTGAGGTAAATGTAGCACTGAACACCGAATAACGGTGCTAGTTTACGCAAAGAAATTCTGGATATTAACTTCCGTTCTTGTATAGATTCAAGTAGGGTTCCTCAAGTTATATTTGTATGGAGCATTGACAACCTTAAGGTGTGGGATTCAGGTCGTTTCATTTCAAACTTGCAGTTTGAGTTGTTGCTATACAAAGACAAGTCGCTTCGACGCAAACTGGCAGTCGTTTTAACACTATCATGAAAGGGATAACCAAGGCCCACCAGGCCGTGCTCAGCAATGCAGAACTTGTCTGTCTGCCATTTCGTTTGTAAAAGTTTTATCGTGTACTACATGCAGGACGGTTGAAGTTGGTTGATTCCTAACACATTACTTATTTTACATTTAATACTTGTAGCTTCAGTTATAAATAACGGTTTTGGCAGCCTCGTTTTGTTTTTTAATCTTAAATCATTATTTGGACACGGTTGATGTATACTGGCATATAAATGTGTGTGCATTAGTCCGAATAAATATAATTCTTTGTCTAGTTTTAAAAGTTTTCATTAGTCAACTTTCTGGTAGCTGGCTGTCATTCAATATATCAAACATTTATTCCATTGTTACAAATCATGCTTCTATGCATGATGATCCATTTGAAAGAAAAATAAAAGAAATTAAAAGTTAACCGGTTCTCCAATCCGCCGTGCGTAGAGATCAATTTTCTTAACTCATATCCAAGTTGAGTTTTTTAGCTGCAATTACTTTGTTGTCAATTGTTAATTATATAAAAGCCTAAAGCCTGTAATGCGACACCAGCTCTTACATTTGTTTCTAATTTAGTAACTTTTGCCTTTCCTTTTTCGGTACATTTTTGCGGCTTTCCGTGTTGCCTTAGTATGAGGAAAGACCGCAGATTGCAAAATGATATCCGTAGAATGATTCGGAGGGTTAAAATGGTACCCTTCTGGTTTTGATGCACATTTCGTATAACAGGTTCGCGGAACGGTAGCTTAATTTCCGCCTGTGATACACTTAAGTTCTTTGCACAGTGAGCTGATTTGCAAAAATTCATGTAAAACGTATGGCACTCTGAATACTCACGGAATCAATGAACGCTTTTCATTCAACGATTTACTTTTGTTGTTGTTCCGTTATGGTACCATGAGGAGGCAGCGTCGCTGAGTAGTCAGCTCGTCGGACTCGGAATCCGGCGATTCCAGTTCTGACCACAAGTTGGGTGTGTTTTTCGGTCGTCTTGAGTTTAAATCTTCTGCCATGCTTGCTCTTCTGCCTGGTTGCCTCCTGCCAGCTCCTGTTAGGTCATATTTGTGTTGTGTGCTTGAAATTATTTGGGAGCAGCTAAAAAATTTTTTCCATGTTCCAATTTTTAGAATAACACCACAATTGTGTAAGCCATACACAACCTACGATCCCTTGATTCGATCTGACCAAGGGCTACAGCTCAAGACGACAGTTTTCGACCCCTTTCCGGAGTTAAATTGCCTATTTCCAACTCAGTTAAAAGAAGCAAACTTTTATGTTCTCCAGCAGATCTGAGTATCACACTGCTGCAAGAGTATCATGTACAGTGCTACAAATGCTATTAATAAATAATTTTTTATTCGTTAATTTAAATTAGAGAAACTTAAAATAAAATTAAAAATTAAAAAAAATAGTTGCTTACTTTAAAGTATTCATACAGTGGGAGTAAGTACTCTGGAAAGAAATTTGTCTCTCAATCCGGGGCATGATGAGATAAAATTAATTTGATGTGATAATATAGTTTCTTTTGATAACAGTTTTGGAAACGGGATGTTAGGATTTAGTAAAAACCATATGTCTTTATTTATAGAGGAATACCTTAGATAATATTAAAAGTAAAAAGTGAGTTTCATCTTCAATTTTTCAGTTACACAGACAACTTAGCAGTACATCACCGAGGATCTGCATTTTCCTCCACCACTGAGCGATGGCTGCATCTTCTGGCCAACTCCAAAATGTGAAAGAAACATGGAACGTCAACAGTCCGACTTCTCACGAGGTTTTCTGTTTTCACTTGTTTTATAAAAAGCCTTAATCAGTCTAAAACCTTGACTGGCGCAATAATCTTTAATAATAAGGGGCAGATATGATGGGGTACAAAAAGAAGACCATAGTAACAATATGAAGTATCTTTCTTCGGTGAATTTATTGATTATGGTTCCTCGGTTTCCTGGATTGAAACACGAAACAATTCCAAGCTACGCACAGACGGAGTTTGTTTGTTTGTTTGTTTTCAAATGCAAACCTGTTGAAGGAAGTATGTATTATATCTTTTGTAGTAATGCTTCACTTGACTCGTAAGCTTTCATTTTTTTTAGTAAAACGTTAGAGGCAAATTTGTGGCAAATTTTTCTCCCAAAATAGTTTCAGGCCTAACGGCGTAAGGGATTATAGAAATAACCCATAGTTTTGGCTAAATCTTAACTTTGGCAAAGTATTGCTGGGGATGTTTGCGTGTGACCTTAATTTAGGGCAAGGAACAGTAACAGCAACAACAACAAATTCTATTGAAAATTGGAAAATAACTAATTACGTTACTTTCCCACCCGCAAATAGCTTATAAACTAATCGAGGCGGGGGGAGCTTAAGACATATTACAAAACAAGATTTATATATCGATAACATAACATAACATAACATACATGTTTATTCAAACTCATAATAACTACATGAATTTGAAAGGGAGAGTCTAGAGGTTAACCCTATGAATAAAACTCTCCTAAAAATAACAAACAAACAATAAAAATTACAACTTTGAAAAGGATTTGAGTTTACATTTAAAAAGTTCAAGGGAACCGGCTTCAACAACATTACTAGGTAAATTGTTCCAATAACTAATTACATTGTTAAAAAAAGAATAAATAATAGATGGACTATTAATAACAGTGAAGACACTATTAGTAATGGTAACAGGACTTAGTGGAGTCCAGTTCGGTCTGTAATCATACGAGTGATTAACAAAATCGGACGACCGCGTAGCGGGAGTCCGATTTGTTTAATCACGAGTATGATTACAGACCGAATTGGACGACACGAAGTTCTGTTACCAATAAATCATAACTTTAACAAAATTTGTGATATATTAGGCTCATTTTTTTAATCAAAACACAGGAAACTCCGAGATTTCTTTTGCTAGCAGTGAAAAAAAAAAGCCATTTAAGCGCGCGCGTGATGGCGCGTACTGTCCAATTACTTAGGCATGACGCGTACTGTCCTATTTAACTGTCCTATTAAGGCTGAAATCAGGGCAGTTGATAGTCAATCAGATTTAAGAATTTTGTTGTAGTTATGATTATACAGTAAATAGAATTTAAACTAACATAAAAAGCTATAAAACAAGGCAAGTACATAACGATTACGAAGAGAGGCTAACCTAAAGTATTAAATAACTTAATAAGACGGAAGACTTCGACATAATCATCTTCTGACCGCAAGAAACTTAGTAATAATTCCTTTATTTTTTTACGAAAGGAATTCAAGGCTGTGAGATTTTTCTTTAGCAGAAGGGGCTGCACTGCTGCGTTGTTGTTGAAATACATCTTTTAGTCTTGAAATCTCCTCCGTTAATGTTGAAACTTTAGATTTGAGATCGTTATTTTCTCTCTTTAGGTTGGCAATAGACTCAGGCATAATATGACACACGAAACAAGATAACAAAACAAATAGAAAAAAGTAGAAGGAACACTTAAACATCAGAAATTTACGAAATGTTACGCGGAGCACTTAAACACACGGCCGTCCATCTTAACCACATCACAGTTCTCCTATGCTTTTCTTTTTGGATAGTGAAAGGCTGACAAGACAAGTAGACGTTGTTTGCGAAACAGAATTTACCCTAAGAATTTAAAAACAAAATATGTTCTAAATTCTGCCTTTTGAAACGATTAGAACCGGAAATTAACACATATTTTAAATTTCGTGCTGTAACTGTCACTGTTTGTTTCTGAAGACAATTTCAAATTTTTAAAGTACAACTCGCAACTTAAAACCCACCAAGGCCACTATTTTATGGTTTTTCTGACAATTAACAATGTAAAATTCGCCAGCATTTTCAAGTGGCTTTTCGTTCTCATTACTATAATTCTTTCCTTCAGACTAGCCTTTTTAAAAGCGGAAATGAAACCATACTACAGAAAGCAACTGGACAGGGTGCGTTATCTGCTACCAGCGGAACCTTGAACGTTACTCTTCTTGGTGATGAATGGGGTTCATCTGCTGGTGGGTTGTCAACAATAAACAGAGAGCTTGCTATTCACCTTTCCCAGCAGTCAGGAGTAAATGTATCTCTATTGTGTCCAGAAAAAGCTTGCAGCACTGAAGAAATAAGAGAAGCTGATGGCTATGGAATCACCATTGTTGAGGCGAAAGAACGTGCAGCATATGATCGTCTTGATTGGTTGAGCATCCCACCCCAGGACCACTTGATGGACATCGTTGTTGGTCATGGTGTTAAACTTGGTCGGCAAGTACAGTTCATCAGAGAATCTGCTCGATTTCCAAATTGCAAGTGGGTACAAGTGGTTCACACTGCTCCAGAGGACCTGAGCAGATACAAATGCTACAGTGACCCCATTTCAAAAGGTGAAACAAAACAAGAATCAGAAGTTGAACTTTGCAGACTTGCTGACATTGTTGTGCCTGTGGGACCCAGGCTTAAAGAAGCATACTCTTCATATTTGCAGCGATGTAAGACAGATCACGAAGTTTTGTCCATTACTCCAGGCCTTTTCCAAAGGGAGTTTGGGGATTTAACGCAAACCACTAATGAGAATGCTGAATTTAAAGTACTGCTAATTGGTCGTGGAGATGTTGAGGACTTTGAACTGAAGGGATACAACATTGCTGCTCAAACATTTACTGATCAACGGCTAAAAAACAAACCTTTCCATCTAATATTTGTCGGAGCGCCTGAAGGAAAGCAAGAAGACGTTAGAGACAAACTCCGTCAACGTGGTATTGCAGAAGCACAGTTGACTGTGAGAAAATTTGTACAATGTAGAGAGAGACTGAAAGATTTGTTGTGTGAAGTTGACCTTGCCATCATGCCATCAAAATCGGAGGGATTTGGTCTTGTCGCACTTGAGGCCTTGTCTGCAGGTTTACCCATTCTTGTTGGTTGTAAGTCAGGATTTGCCAAAACATTAGAAAATGTTCCAAATGGTTATTCATGCATCGTCAATTCAGATGATCCAGCAGAGTGGGCAAAAGCAATAGAAGCTGTTCGTGTCAGGCATCGAATGCGGTTGGAAGAGATTAAAGCACTAAGAACCTCGTATGGGGAGATGTACAGTTGGAAGGAGCAATGTGAAGCCCTTGTGAACAGACTCTGGAAAATGAGTCATGGTACGAAATATACCCTTTTACAATCCTAAACGATTACTTTCCTAAGAAATCACCTTCCAGTGTTGTTATATAAAATGCTACTGAAGGACACCATTCAAAGACAGTAAGTTTTATGTTGGGCAGTGACAATCATGCAAAAATAAAATTGGCTACTTGAAATTTTGAGATGCCTGCTTTTCCTTTATAATAATGTACCTCAAAGCCTGAAAGAGCTGACTGTATAACCGGATACGAACCGTTTTGGAATGTAATCTTAAAATGGATCTATAGCGCTTTAAAAAGTTATGATGTTTAGTAGCATGCTTTACCATCGAATCGACTCTGAATTCCTATTGCTTCTTGAGCTTAAATGTTTTGTGCACACCTTTTAAAATTGTATTAGAAGTTGTCAAAGTGGATTTAAATACATGAAAAGCTCTATGACTTTTAGAATAAGGGTCTCCACAACATTAAAGGAACACAGTTGTCGTCACGGACTTGGTTCCTCATGGGTGGTTGTGGGTGGTGGAGATGTGAATGGCTTACAAAAACGTATATACATTATTTTGTAAAAAGCTTGTATTAAATGCTTGTTCTATGAACAGTTCGGTGCTAAGCCATTGTTCAGATCCGGGAATGCTGGGTTTTGTAAATTGATTATTAACTATACCTCAATATAACGAACATTTTTGTTGTCTTCTCGAAAATTCGTTAAATCGAGGTGTTCGGTATAACGAACCCTCGATACAACTAACAAATTTCCCCAATCCCTTGGCACTTCGTTAAATGGAGGTTCTACTGTAATCGCCGACTGTTTTCGTCCATTTTTTTTCACAGAGGCGGATTCTTTAAAGGCAGCGAACTCCTTGGAAACAAAGCGCCAGGCTTTTCATGGGACGGAAAGCATAACAGTGGACCATAAAGGTATTGTGAAAGACTTATAATCAATGAAATCGCGGGTGATGTTGCCTATGAACGAGTGTTCATCAGCAAAAGGGATTCTGTGTGGTACATACCTGTACATGCTTAAGTACACATAACTTTACACACGTAATTGATACATGTATAAGATGTGGTTTAAACGTTGGACATCACATGTGCCGGACTGAATGCATAAACTATTTTACTACTAAATAAATATAGCAGTACACGGTGCTCTTCCTTTTTATCTATCGAGCCATCTGGGAAGAATAATTAAAGCACATTCACAATATCAATCTTCATATACACACTACCTCGTTGCTGAAAAGTCTTAACGTTTTTTACCTATATTTAAACTGAAGTAGTGGAAATTGTGAAATTACTCAATAAAAAAATTCCCCACCTCTTAGCAGACCTTTGATGAAAATATTCCACACTGACTGACTGAGCCTTATGTTTCAATGAAATTGTTTTTCGTAACCATGGTTTGTTTTCGCAGAGCCTTTTATGGAAAAAGACAGTAAGCCAAGAATGTTCTCCCATGTTGGCGAGAAGCTCGTTTCAGAAACGTTTGTTGATAGTAACTGTCAGAAAAAAACTGATGCTGTACCAGGAAATCAAACTAAAATATTTACAGTTAACGTCTCTCAGTCTCAAAACAGCCGTAAGCGTAAAAATTCAGAATCTTCTGGTGATCCAGGTAAACAATAACATGATTTGTTTTCCTTGCTATTGCCTACTAGTTTATCTGTAAAGAATAGAGTAATTGTTAGGTTACCCAAAGGTGCATTTTTCCACAGAACTTGTTACCGTTACGCTGTAATAGTATAGTGTATGTAGTGTAATTCATTACCCATTTTATTTACCAACTCTGGTTTAACGCCACATTTTATCCTGGATTCCGAGAATACTTCAAATCTTGTAGCCTTAGAAAACAGCCGACGTGTCACTACCGTGACATCAGTATGGAACTAATTTCCGTGTTCGTTCTGTTTCTCAGACGTCATTTCGTAAAGGAACAAGGCCGGGGTGTCGTCGCGAAATGTCGGCTGTTTTCTGAGGGTACAAATCTGGGAACCAATGCAAGGTGTTGACTTTCGAGCGATGTATAGTATTCTAGAATACGTTTCTCGCGATATTTTGGGTTTCATTAATAAAGACATTTATTTCTCGGCGCGTTTTCTATGTTTCAGAAATTACTACAAAGCATTTTTTTCAAGACCTTAATGATGAAAAGAGTAAAGTAGTCCACGATACTTTACAACGACAAATACAATTGTACTTCCAACATCGTATCATTGCAACCCCAGAAGGAGTGTCTGGCCTGATTGAATATATAAAGGGAACGCACAACATGGCCTTGCAATCTGTGGGTATAGGATCTCTAGAAATAACATTTCGGTGCCCCTCCTTGGAGAGCCTTGAAAGTTTGTGGAGTGACTATCAGTCTGGTCACCTTAATGACGTTGCCGAGAGATACCTTGTGACTGATGACATAAAGAAGAAACTGAACTTGGAGAGTATCGGGCTGGAGACAACTATTGAAGAAGAAAACTACCTGATTTGTAAGGAACTTCTATTGGAAAAATCATGTAAGCCTGAAAGCTCTTTATAAGAAATTGACTTCAATTTAAACTGTTAAAACTAGAAGTTCTCATTGAGAAGGGAAGTACTGCCGTTAGTTGCGATGCGAATAGGACAAAGGCAGTATGTAAAACAGTTTAGCATATGAATTTTTAACTTAGACTTGTTAGAATTATGAAGCACTCAGAGCGAAATATAAAAAATGAACCGAACACAAATGACAAATATCCTTACATTCAGATAACTCGTTTCAATATGATTTTGTAATTCATTTTAATCATTCACTAAATGCTAAAACAACGGCAGTGCTGATAGGCTGTTTCTTTATCGAACAACCCATGTAATCTTTGGTCGCATCGCTGACGATCATCGCACACAAATAGCGAGGAGAGTTGTGAAGGCCAGAACTTGTTAATTCACAGGTCAGGTAGACGTACAGCACATGCCGTTCACCTATTTAACTTACAATCCTGATTCCCGAGATAACAATCTGTGTGACAAAAGAATAGTGTACTCGCTATAACTAATCTTGAAAAATATAAACCGAGAAAAAAAATGTTCAGTACAATACTTCTTGAACTGTTCTTACCGTTTGGGCCGTTAAAAAGGCAGCAAACATCCGATGGACTACGATTTCTGGCGCACTGATCTTATTTAAATACCGGGAACAAAACAAAATGGCGGGTTACTCCAAAGAGAAAAACAGGCGCCGCAGCTACGCACTTTTAAACAAACCGCCCACTGCAAAGCGCTACAGTCACAGACTGATTGAACATCGAACCATTGAACCAAAAATCTCAAATCGCTCAAGAATATGGTCTGCCGGCTAATGTCCGGCAGCAACAATTGAAAACTGAAATCAGTGACCTGAGAATACAATTTGCTCACAGAAGGCCACAATAGACCTTTTTACGGATTCGGCGGCCATATTGAATTAATTCGATTTAAGGAGTATTATAGGATGCCCAGGGGGCATTAGCACATTTGTTTGTATTTTCGAGCGCTTTTAAGGACATTTTTTCTTAAAGTTTTCTTAGAATAAGATTGTAATGGGAAAAAAGATCTTTGTACCGCGTTTGGATGTAATAATGATAGCCTTTTTTTCCGAGAAATATACAGTGAAAGATTATATTTCTAATGCTAAACTAGAAAAAGGCGACCATTATTACCTCCAAACACGGCACAAGGATCTTTTTTCCCATTACAATCTTATTCTAAGAAAACTTTGAGAAAAAATATCCCGAAAAGCGCTCGAAAATACAAACGAAATGTGCTCATGCCCCCCGGGCATCCTATAATACTCCTCCAATCGAATTAATTCAATATGGCCGGCGTATCGGTAAAAAGGTCTACAGGTTACCTTTTCTACTTAAAACCCTGATAAAAATGCTGTTTTTTGTTATAGCCTCTGCTGCATTTCTACAGCAACTATCTTAGATCAAAAGAGTCATAGGTCAGTTGCAAGGGGGAGGGGGTCTTAAATACGCGAACAATAGAAAATCTCCCAAGCTTGTTATTACTTTCCTGAAACTGTTTGCAATAAATTGACAGTGCATGAGAAATTAGTTGACCTCGATAAAAATTCACGGCAAAGAAGAAATAAAAACGTCATGTTTACAGTGTATAATTGCTCTCAGTTGAATTCTTTGGATTCTCATATTTCCTCTCAAACGTAAAATCAGGCCAGCAAGTGAAACAGGTGAATGTTTGTATAGGGTTTACACTTTTCATGTTGCGTACAGTACTTTTACCTGCTGTGAGTATTATTTTTGTAACAGTACATTCACACTAGATATGTTATTTAGTAGTGATTTGTCTCTTTCAGCCGAATCAGATCAAGAGACAGCTTCACTAACAATTGACAAAAGCCCAGATAAATGTGAGGTAGGCCGCTTTGTACATACGATTAAAACTGAAAATAGGTAAAGACCTAGAAGATAAAAAATCGAGCAGTGCGTCTTGGCTGGTTGTTAAAGTATCGAGCCCCATAGCTAAGAAAACTTCGTTATCTGTCCACAGCCAAAATTTTTAGTAGCCACTTTACACTGCAGTGTTAAGGGAATGGTAATGAAAATATGTTCATCGCGTCAGTCTTATTTTATGAGGGTTGTAATCTGCCTTTTTGTTTTTGCGCAAAGCGATCGCGAGCGGAGCCCCGTAGCTAAGAAAATTCGGTTGTTTATCCACAGCCAAAATTTTAGTAGTCACTTGACCGTACGTTTGCCCGTCTGTCTGTACCACAGGGAAAGCAATGTAAATTGTCACTCTCTCTGGCTAGTATGGGAGCCTGCAACCTGATATTGCACATATATGTTGTGGTGAATTGACAGCTGTCAAAACAGGGTATCCACTGATCGAATTTACTGATACTGATCAGTATCACATGACTATGTCGTGGGCTTAGTTGTCGACCCATCATGGACAGGCGTTTTTTTTTTTGAGTTCTCCGCTGAAAAGGTACTAGTTCTCAACTGATGGCAGGCTCATTTCTTTGCAATGGTTACAAAATAATTGTTTGAAGTAAATATAATAGTTACATGAGATTCGTCTTTAGCCTCGGCTAAATCTTTATATTGACTCAATTAAAGTATCATTGTTTTCTAAAACCATAAGACAACTTTGAAAAGAAAGTTTCGCTAGGTAGCTTTTAATTAGTTGGATGTCCTATTTTGTCCGTAGAAGTGCTTCTTTATAAAACTTTCGGCTTTTAAAATATTGCAGAACCGTTTATAAATATAGTTGTTAATCATTCTAGGACAAGAAACAGGTCCTGACCCATACGCAGAGAGCCGAGAAGGCAAAAGTAAGTTCAGTGAGATATGTATTGTAGTGCGCGCTCTTTGTGCATTACACTTGATGAAAGATTGGAAAATGCCAAATTGATAACCGGCTGAGTTTGATTAGTGTACAAGTCGTTACCACTTGGGCATTTTCGGCAGGCCAGGAGTTTATTTTGAGTTGCAGTGTAACGAACCCTTTCACAGTAGGACACCCAGAGGGACGTTTGCTTAGGTCTGAGTTAATATCTCCAGTATCCAAACAGATACAAATAATATAGTTTTCGAATGGACAGACATTTACTAGTGAATCCCGGTAAAGGTTGTTATGTCATAACAAATAACCGAGAGGATGGTTTGTAGACTGGTGGAATTGGATTTTATCAACTGGTGTGATTTAAATTGATCCTTTCTTAATTACTGTCTCGTTACTCGATATATTTTTAATCAGGCGTCGAGAGGCCCTTTACACAAGGCTGCTGTCAGTGGAGAATACAAGACAGTCAAAATGCTTCTTGAAAGTGGTGAAGATGTGGATCAAAGAGATCAGGTTTTAGTCTTCTCCAGTTTATGTAAATTTTGTGCGAAGCCTCAAGCCCGACTTCTCGCTTTCGCTTGGCTTGGGGATTCTTACTTTCTTTAATTAAAGAATAAGATAATGAAATTAAATCTTGCGCTAATGTTTCCTTAAAGACTAGTTTTCTCTAGCGATCGAATCGGAGTTGTAATCAGAATAGAACTTTACGGTCTAGTGAAATCACCGTTCTGATTCCGTTTACGACTCCGTCACTTACGATCAAGTGAAAACTAGGTCGTCGGAGTCGCAAGCAGAAGCAGAAGAACTAAGCCAATCACAAAGCGTGGGAACGTCATAGTGATAGGTTTACCCTTCCACTTCTGCTTCAGACTCCTACATCTGGTTTTCACTTTATCATAAGCGACGGAGTTTTTGGCGGAATCGGAAGAAAATGGAAACTTTCTGATTCTTCCGACTCCGATTCCGTCGCTCTTGAGACTTCGCTTACGATTCCGACTCCGACTCCGTCGCTAGTGAAAACCAGCCTTAAATAGTGATTTATCCGGTGGATAACGGTATCCACCGTTTCGACAACTGGGCCCAGGACTACTGTTACTCGGGTGATCGTTAACTGTGAAGTCATAGAGGAAATGTTGCTAGAACCAACTACGTGCTCAACATGAAGTGTCTAAGGCTAAAGACTGTAGAGAATTTATTTAGTTGTCTGTTTTGCTTGTTGTTGTTGTTGTCGTTGTTGGTTTTATTCTTTCTTACGATGGTAACCTGAGGATGTTCTGGACGGTATTCAGGTCTCTGATATATAATAAAAGAATTGGTCTAGACTACCAATTTCTGCTAGAAAGTGACCTACAAACATTGCATTTGGGCTCAGTTAGAGTGTTCCACTTGGTTTGTTTCAGATAAACTAAAGTAAAGGATAAAGGATAAAGTAAAGACGTTTTGGCTTTATTCTTAGCTTGGTCGTAAAAATTAGTCCAATAACAGCCTCTAAGGTTATTTTGCAAGGCCATCTTTATAAACGGAACTAGCTGGCTTCTCAGCGTACACGTTATCTAACTGCGTTGTATTTTTCTATTTTCGGTAGTTTTTTCTGACCCCTCTTCATCTTGCCTGTTGGTACGGACAGGAGTCTGTTGTTAAACTTTTGTTGAAACATGGTGCAAACGTCAACGCTGAAGACAGGGTGAGTTTTGCAAGCGTTTTATACATTGTAAGTTAAACAATATATTGCCAGGAGACCGTGAACGTCTACAGTCAACGTAGTTTACTACAACTAGTTGACAACCAAGGGACTGTTACTTTTGTGAATATCTTATTATGCAGTTCCTTCAGGGATTTTCAGAGATCTTTTTGCAACAATGCTCAGGGTTCCTTTGCCAGACTGCTTTTGGTGCAGTTTGCAGGTAATGAACAGAAGCAATGAGCTATGAATATCCCCTGTTAGTTTATGTGTAATGCATAATGGCCTGGGACCAGGCTCTGAAGTGGTGGGGGAGCGAAGAAAATCGGCGAGCGAAGCGAGCGAGAGAGTCTGGGGAGGGATAAAGATGAAGGAGTTCGGCCGCCTTCCCCCCTCCCCAGTCCACCACTCGGCTCGCTTGGCTTGCCGATTTTTTGCTGTTTCATCCCGTTTTTGCTTATTCCTTCCACTACGGAGCCTGGTCCCAACTGAGCTAATGTTATATAATGGTTTTACAATAAAGATCAATTTAGAAGTACAGGAGACTCAAAAATGGAAGGTGTAGCTGCAAAAAGACATGGTTCCAGCCACCTTAATGCAATTTTCTTTATGGTGGTAGCTACCTTATGTAGACATACCTTCAATGACCCAATAAACGCCCGGGGCGTCTATTTAATTTGAGGAGTCCAAGCGGGGACGTTTAATAGATAGGAGGCGTTTAAAAAAGGGAGCCGTTTATTCTCATAACGGTAACAAGCTCAACACAACTAGTATGCTTTGAGCGAAAATATCAAGAATTTAAAAATAGCGGAATATCCACTCCATCATTGAATTGATACGTTTGGGCCGTCTAGGGATTTTATATCTCTGTTTCAAATCGCACCTATTGATATCTATCAATTGATCATTCTAGGCCGTGTAGAGATCCATATCGCTCTTTCAAATCCGGCCAACATCGATGTCAGAATCCTCCCTCAGGGTTATTGTGTTGTCATCCTTAGTCTATCCTTACTTCTAACTTGACTTTGAACAAGATGAAATACGCAGAGCCTCGTTAATCAAGAAAGAAACAAAATATTTAGAATGATTTTAAACTTTCTTGCTAATTCCTAGTATTTGGAGTCATTCTCATAGAGGGCATCTATTAAACAGGGGGTGTTTATTACAGAGGAGAGTATAATACAAATTTAACAGCACGGAGGAGGCGTTTATTAGATAAGAGGCCCTTATTTGGAAATGGGCGTTTATTACGTCATTAACGGTACCGGTAGTTAGAATATTCTCCTTGGTAAATAGCAAGTGGTAAGTAATACGTATTACCCTACTTTTGATGTTTTTAGTTTCAACGTACACCTCTGCAAAAAGCTGAAAGTCAAAACCACCCCTCCATAGTGCAGTTGCTGCTGAAGAATGATGCCAGACTAAGTCTTCATCAACCAGTAAGATATCAGATTGTATTTACTTCTTGCCAACCTGGTTTTTCAGATGAAATTCGCTTACATTTGTTGTATTCTTTGTTGATAATGTGGAACGTTACTGTAGGACCTAAAACGCCAATCTGGAGATCACGATACAGTGAAAATCCGGAGATCACAGTATAGTGAATCTTTTATTAAAAGGACACCATATTAAGCGGTTGAGTGGCTCAGTTTTTCTCAAACGTATTTTAACTTCGAGCTTACCGTAAAACAAACCCATTAATAGTGGAAACCAGCAAAGGTCGCGTGTCTGTCCGGTTAATACCGGTTTCATCGTACATTTTATTTCTAAGTTGTTGATGTCTATGGTTCTGGCGTTTCGTTTATACACGTAAGATCTTTAAATTGTTTTGGAGACGTTGGGGAAATATGACTACCCTATTCGATAGTCAGTTTCTTGTTGAGGCATTTAACAAAAAAACGTTACTCGACGTTTCGATGTATCACCGTGAGAAATGTTAAATTTCAAACACTATTGTTTGGAAAATGCATCTCAACTTTAACTATTAGACTTAGTAAGTGAGTCAGTAAGTAACTTTGGTTAATCAGGGTAGCCCGTTCAGCAACGAGGCTGGTATCTATAGGAGCCCTGACAAATAAAAAAGTATACTATTTAAAAATTCCTAAGGTATATCCATGATTAAAATGAACACATTGTATTCATTGTAAAATATTGCGTAAAATACTTGGGTACTAGGTTATTTAAACACTTAAAAGCTAGAATGCATCTATGGAAGCAAGATTTAACCAGTTTAGCACAAAGAAAGTTTCATTTGAGGTGTTCTCCCGTAATATAATTCGAGCTGCACGGTTCTATAGGCGGTGTAACTCTTTGCAACACCCCTCTGAGATTTCCCCCACGCAACATCAGCATAGTCAAATAATGGTTGCAAGAGTGAAGTGTATACTTTTTAGAGGCTTCAAGCGTGAGGCATGATCGTATACGAGACAAAAGCCCTAGCCTCCTACTGACTTTGCTGCTTACATACTCGACGTGATCTTTCCAAGAAAGGTTCTCATCTAAAACAACACCTAAATAGCTAAATTTAGCTACTCTTTCTAAAGTCTTTCGGTATAACTGTATACAAACATTTGGTGATTTGGCAAGATTCTTCCAACTTTCAATCTGATTGATATTGTCTTACTCTGATTAGGGATAAGCCTGCTACTTTCAATCCATTGTACAACTCGATTTAAATCATCCTGTACTACCCTAGCTATCTCCGAGGGGCAAAGATTCGTAAAATACATATATGTTAATCACCGGCTGGGAGGTCCGTATTGGGAGGAACTGTTCCCGAGGTCGTGAGTACGGCCGAGGGCGGTACTCAGACCGAGGGCACAGTTTCTCCCAATACGGACCGACTTAGGCCGGTGAATAACATTTTTATTTTTTTTCGTACTGAGATTTAAAAGTTTCAGGAATATTTGACTTCAGCCTCCAACCTATTTGTGTTGAAGAAGGGCGCGTTCGTGTTGATGTTCAAAGCGCGCCATCGATTGCAAACCAAAACAAAACATTACAACATGATTTTTGAACTTGTAATTTATATTATCACAATTAAGCTCTCTTTTATAATAAAGAAAGGTTTTTGTGTCTTGGTAGATAATTCTGAGTGTCAAACAAGGATAAAGGAATTGACGAACTTAAAAGCCACAGGAAAGAAAATACAGCAAAGATTTTCTTCGGTTGAATATTAACTTTAAGATTAAAATTCAATAGAGCGGGATAAAAACTGCACAAAGGCTTTATAAAAAGAGCTAATTAAACATATCAATCTTTGGGTTTTGAATTGAATTCGAATAAAAGAAGGGGTAACTAAACAAGTATATAAACAAAGAAATGAAAACGGCGATAACCGACTGCTGGAAAAGTTGTTCGTGTTGTTTATTTACGGTTGAAAGCTATATGCAATCGTTGACAACAACCTTTTCTGAAAAGTAGAAAACTAGCGAGGCAAAATTCAATGAAAAATGGCAGAATCTAGAAAAAAAAAATGGAAAACAGACAGACAGCAAAAATGGAAAACAAACCTACAAAGAGAGCAAAAAAGTAGAGTAAACGGTGCATAAAAGCAAGATTGCAGTACTTACAGCGTAGTTTGTAAAGCTAGTGAAGCGACATCAAGAGCCACCTGTTTTGCTTTACTTTAGCGGTTTTCCTGGCTGACTTGCTTGATTCTCCTTTCAGATTTTTTGTTTTTTTGTCTGACAAAACAAAATTCACTTTTCCCTAGCTAATGCTAATAATAACGCAAGTTTTAAAAGAAAAATGGTTAAAAATCACAGGTTTTGCTCATTCACAAACAACAAACAAACTTGTGAATGAAGCGGCCAACGATTCCGCCCGGGTTACCGGGCGGCAAGATCGTAAAAAACCGCCAGCTGTCGGAACCAATCAGATTGCAGGATTTGGAGGATTCCGCCTGCTCGCAAGCTTAAAAAAAATAAATTACAGTATCATCTGCATACATATTAATAGAACAGTTTTCTAAACACTGGGGCAGGTCATTAATGTATAAAACAAAAAGCAGAGGCCCCAAAATTGAACCCTGGGACGCCAAAACGGATTGCCCGTGTTGAGGACATGTCGTTTCCAAATTGCACTCTTTGAGTTTGTGTGGTAAGATAGTTCCGGAACCAGTCCAGACTACTTCGTCTGACTCCGTAGTGTTCTAGCTTAAAAAGCAAACATTCATTCCAAAAGGTTGAGTTTGATCGTCCGGGTGAACGTAGTCCTGAATAGGACTGTTGTTGTTGACAGTGACTGACGTTTCGACAACCTGTGCGGTAGTCATCTTCAGAGTCAAAGTGAGCTGTATCACGTCAGTTGATGGTATTATACTCTGGTTATTGATCTGATTGGTCAATTATGTCGCGATGTTATTGGTCGTCTGTCAGTTAAGCAGTGATGTTATTGGCTATGAAGACTCGTAATCAACTCGTAACAACAGTCCTATTCAGGACTACGTTCACCCGGACGGTCGAGTTTTTTGAAGTTATCCGCTGACAATTTACTCGTTTTCAAATGATCGCAGGCTCAGTTTTTTTAATTCATATCAAATATGTTGTGTTTATGTCACTATCGCCCAGCACTATTACGGTTTTGATTTTAAACTGACCTCAGACGCAAAAATTCAGCCAGTATTTTTGAAAAACAAGCGAAGAAGACCTTTTCTTAACATGGTCACGTGTTGGTCACGCTCCATGTCCAATTTTTATGCTCTGATTGGTTAAAATCTGACAGGTGAGTTCATGCGTAAAATTTATGCAGCATATCTTGAAGTTGTTTACTTTGACAGCTGAAGCTGACAGAGTTTTGAGTCAACTGAAATACAGCTGCTATCATAGTCAGGTCTCTTAAGGTCAGGATCGTTACAGAGTTGACAAAAGCACCAAACTTTGCACAGCGATAGCTTATTGCAGTACCAGGAATATTAGAGGGGGTGCCTAATGCAAATATGCCACTGAAGCGTGCTAAACAGGATTTAATTATTCTAAATTTCACCTGCTGGGGTCCCTGTGGTGTTTTGATTGAAAATTGTTATTTAATACCTTAAATCACTCAGAATACTTTTCTCATGTTGTAAACAACAATTTCACTCGAACATCTGGCATTCGCATCCATTATTAGTTTATTGATTGTATAATTAAGTTGATTATTACTTTGCCCCTAAAGCAAGTCCACAGTCCGTCCACATTTTCATAAGTCATTTCTAAGATGGCCTCGTCTTTGCTTCATAACTTGCAAGTACTCAGCTTCTGGGGTTCTCTTCTTCTTTTCTAATGTCTTTCAATTAGAGCAGGCCTTATTGTGTGGCTTAAGCCTTATTTATCAGGTATTACTTGTTATTACATGTCACTTTAAGCTGAAGAAAGCGTATGGCATAGCGATTCACACACAAAATTTCAGAAAAAAGAAATTGTCCAAGAGTCTGTTGTATCACATATTATCAGGGATTTATGACAGCTGTTCATGAAGAGCAAATAACGAAATGACAGAACCCAAAATAGTTCTTTCCTGAGGAGGTAATTAATTTATCAGCTTAACATAGGCCTGGATGCCTATCAGTCTCTCTTTATCTGCTGGACGCACGTGCATGTTTTGAGAGAGAAGCAAGCATCATGGCTCAAGTCATATCATTTACAATTCCCGCAGTTTGTCTAAGCTTTACAAAGCAAAAACAAACAAAAAAGAATCTGGTCTCATAAACGAAAAAAGAAACAAGTTAGCCCAAGCTTCAAAAAACAGCACAGTTTATCATGAAGCCTCTACATTTGGCACTGAAGCACTCATGTCCAAAAATAATAACAGCTTATCAAGTCGTAAAAGTGAGACTCAAGTGGTACAAGATTGACTCAAACTGCTGAAACTGTAGAAAGAGGGCCGGGCTAACTTTTACGGCCTGTTTACATGGAGGAGGGGACCTCAGGCTGGCAAGGTAACCCACTTAGGTGGGGTAACCCGCCTGTCCATATAATCTCTCATTTTAATTTGATCACATTTACATGATAGGTGGGGTGACCCTTCAAGGTGGGTAGCCTGGTCTGCTACACCGGCTAACCCTCTCAGCCGAGGTCAAATTTTCCCATGTCAACGTTTCAAGGTGTGGTAACCCAGGCTAGTCGGGGTCCGATTCGCGCAAAATTCACTTTGGCGCCGGGTGGCTTCACATAATTATTAAAGGTAACAATAGAAAGCCACAACACCGAAGGTTGCAGCAAGAGCAGCAACTGAGCGTAGACGTGGTTTGCCAGCATTTCTCTTGTTTACGTGCTTAGCGACCATTCAATAATCTTGAGAAAGTGCACCCCAGGATGGCGGGGTTGTAAGATTGCATGTATAGGAGGGTTATTTTTTTACCCCACCTAAGCAGGTTACCTCACCTACCTGGGGTCCCCCACCTTTATGTTAACAGGCCCTAAGTCTCAGGAACCGTGAAAATGGTAATAAACGGTATACCTAACCCGGGAATAGCTGTGATACTACTTCCATCTTCAAAAACGTCAGAATGGCAGCCAAAGGAGCCATTCATCAGTGTAACACGAATGTTAGATTGCGGTTGTTTCATGCGTCTCGTTTTGTGACTTTTTTGGGGTTCGTTTTTGTCACATCTCTAAATTTCAATCATGTTCAAAACACCCCTACTAACGAAATATTTCGTAAAGCTCTTTAGAATGATATTCAGCAATAAAAACAAGGTGTGACCATGGCCAGGAGCCGATTTCTAGGCTCCTAGTGTGGCAACATAGGCATAACTGAATGCAAAGTTTTGCGGTATGCAGTTTGTCAGAAATCTGTTAATTTGAGTGGGCAAAGTTGGGGCTGATGGGCGTCTTTATCACGACCACTCTATTATTATAAGGGACCAGGCCATAATTATTGTTGACCCTTGCTTTTTTTTGGTATTTTCTGTAATTTTCCACAACGTTATTTTGTGAAAAGTTGGTAACTGAATTGCTCTTGAGGAATTCATGATTGTAAGATTTTGTAACCACAGTGTATTCGCCTAATTGCATCAAACAAATTACATTCATTTTCGTAAATGATGCATCATTGGTTGGAGAAAAGAGGCCTTGTTCCTGTAACTTTTCTTCTGAAGTTAGTTTGTTCGTAAATTGTAACGCACTCGTCGACCTTCCTTTTTTTGAAAGATCGTATAGACCTAACATTAACACCCTGGTGCGAGGGCTCTGAAGTGAATGAGCTCCTTACAGGTGTCTAGGCATGCAGGGACCTCATACCGCGACTTCTCTTTGAATGCAAATGTGTAAAAAATAAAGAGTGTTAAAAATTCCTCGAGAGGCATGTCTCGTTCCAGGGCTTAATAAAAAAGTAGAAAAAGGTAAAGCGACCATATTTTACATCAATAGCTCGTGACAGTAATAATAACTGATAAACTTGAGGTCGACGGTGCGCTCCTTTTACCCCCTCTCTCCATTAATGCTCCGTTTTAAGGGTATTTAAAGCTGAGTCAAAGCTACACAGAAAGGAGAGAAGTTGAAATAAGGATGTGTTGACACCGGGGATCGAACTTGGGACCTCGCGCACCGAAGGCTGTGCACTAACCAACTGTGCCACCCTTGCTCCTCCTTTTCCCCCTGAGGACGAGGTTGACATCAATCATTAATCATTATCTCAAGGACAGGGTTACCAACGAAGCAAATTATAATCTAATCTTAGCTGCACAATTACAAAGTGGGCGCGTTGTCAGTTATGGTTCATGAGGTCGTTCATTTGGCATGTCAATTTAACGATTCTATCGTTTAGGATGTGACACATTTGGGTTTTATGTTATTGTATGACATCTTTGAAAGATGGCTTTGTGATCTGTTTAAATTGATATGTAATGATATTATCACTGGCAAATCTTAGCAGTGACACTGACAGCCGCACAGTGAACATGGTCACACTTACCGTGTGGAGACTGGGGACTAGTCAGTATTATGTACATGTAAAACTATTTTGAATAGTGTAACAGCAACTAAGCATTACCAAATTAAAAACTTCAAAGTTTGAAACAAATGTTTTTTGGCCAAATCAAACGAGAAGAGTACTCACCACAGGGGACCCAATCTGTTATTATAGGTGAAAGTTAATCCCCCCTTTTATCTTTAATTAGGACCATTTGTAACGGGCACCCCCTCCAGTATTATTCGGCAGGTGCTAAGGAAGCTCTGTGCCAAATTTGACACTTTTGTCACTTCTGTAACGATCCGGCCTATATTTTGCACTAAGAGACCTGACTATCAAGAGTCTTCTCTTATTCATGGCTGGTTTGTTTATTGGGTTTTTGGTTGAGAAATGAGTCGCTTGTAAAAGCCGATTATCCGATTTCCGATGGCATCGTTTTTGTTTTTCACCTTGCTGGATGCGTACGAGAATTATAAAGGCTCAAGCGATCCTTGCCTTACTTGATAGCTTTCAGGAGCTGCATCTCGAAATATGGTAAGCCTGAGTAATTGTTGTAGTTATATCTAATTTCATGAAGTCCAGAGCAGTTTATGAAGCTAGTTTATTCACGTTTGTATTAAGATTTGACTGCGACACTGATCTGACCTAGTATGAGGTTTGATTATAAGTTTACAGAACTTCAAAAAGCCTTTGGTCGACATGAATTCACCGTAAATAGAAAGAAAAAACTTTCCGAAGAATATTTAGTGTTAATTGGCTGTAGAAAGAAAGCTTTGAGCTATTTTCTTGTCGCGAGTTCATCTTTGAAAACAGCAAACACCGGGAAACCGCCCGCTTAAAACATTATAAACTTAATCTTTAAGCTTATAAAAGACTTGAGGATTCTTAGAGACACCTAAATACTCATTTGTTTTCGTGAATGAAAATTGTTGTCTCTGTAAATGTTCTACCGAATTATATTTCTTTATTGATTGTTGGTAGTCTCAAAAGTGCAATTTTCATCGCTTTTGCGTTTGTTTTCAGCTGTTCATAAACATTGCTTGCAGGAGTACTCAAAATGCCGAGCGTATCAAACGCTTTTGAAGATTACACATCGTTATAAAACCATTAGTAAAAAATAGAACTCAATAAATTCTCTATCACGTTGAAGCGTAACTCTTTTAAAATGTCTTCGCAAATTTGGCGCTTTTCAAAAGTTAGAACCGGCTGGCCGTATAGGTGATTTTGGAAATATAATTTTTTGAACTGTTTCACTAAAAGTCCACGCGTGCGTCGATGGTCCTGAATATTGAATGAATGCAATTTGTCTTGAAAAATTGTGAAATACTGCATTTTGTAGAGGTCTGTATGATAAAAACAGCGCCTCATAGTACTCTTTCTCCTCAGATGCGGTGTATAAAAAAAATTACCAAAAGGTTGGTTTGCACGCACCCAGATTTATTGGCAAAAATTTGTAAAGTAAACTTGTCGAATACTGTGATCAAGAGCCATTATTTCTCTTAAATGTGACCGAAGACTATTTTTTTGGGTGTACGTATTTAACAATTATTCTTTGAAATCGAGGTGAATAGTGGCAAAATATTTACCGAGCCACGAAGTGGCGAGGTAAATATTCCTAAAGCCACTATTCACCGAGATTGAAAAGAATAATTGTCTTAGTATATACGCACGAAGCAAGGGAGAAATAGATCATTCTCTCTTGACACGAAGTGATCTCAACAAAATCGGAGAGGAAACCATTAAAAAGTACGATTTGATTGACAGATCAGGTCAGCTAGACACGCGACAGTTTAAAAATAGATCTTTGTACAATTTTCAAACATGGCAATTCACAAGCTTATCACTTCGCAAACAACAGCGTAATGACTTAAATGGAACCGCTAAAAGTTTGAATTGTTTCCTTACCTGAGAAGAAAAGAAGAACTTTGTTGTTTTCTGTCGACTCGCCAAGTTTATAGCCAAAAGGGTTTGTTGTGTCGTTCTTCGCATAAAGTGCTGACAAAAATGGCGATTCCGTTCCTTGAGGTAAGACGTCGTGTCGTCTTCATGCAGCATTCTTTCTCGTGTTTACTTGAAACGTAGAATTTCTGCAAACATTTGCTTTCAAATTTGTTTGTCATAAATAAACTTCGTCTTTGGGCCAAATTTTTCTTGTTAGGAAACGCTGAGTTCACGAAACGGCCTCTTCTAGGCGAACAAACGGGAGTTGTAAACAATCCATCGACCACAAAACTCAACAACAGTAAATGAAAAAACGCCGTTTTGAATCCTTTGAAGTCTTTTCTTGCCTGAAAAAAAGTCAACCCTAGGATTTTGTCGACTTTTAAAAGATCTTTCTCTAAGAAAATGGGAAAAAACCGAGCTCACACATTATCCACTCGCTGGGAGGTGAATATTGTTGAATAGTCCGAGATAGCGAACCAATCAGATTGCTTAAATCAGAAAGATCACTGAGTGTGTATATACGAAAGGGCTATATCAACTCTATGCAAGATTTGTTTCACTCCAAAATCACTTACCTTTTCCCACAAAAGTCACATGAATGTGCCCTTCAGTTAACTGATTTGTGGAATACAAGTTTATTGTTTGATTTAAATTATAAATTTATCAATGGGAGCCTCGCTTTTAGCCGTGGCTAAATCTATGAATTAGTTGTTTAGAGCTACACTTTTGTATACAAGTTCGACGTTAAAAATAGTCATCAACATAAACCGTCTCCTGACATGAATTTGGTGTAAAGCGGATGTTCCATTTTGGTGCATCTACGCAGTAACATTTCTTTAATGAAAGTATGTTTAATTAGAATTTTTGATAGGTGACAAAGCCTTGTTTGAGTTGCGCACTTTGTTCAGTTTAACATTTTTGACCTCTGTTTAGCCCTCTGTCCATATTTTCCAGGCAATGACTACCTAACTCGTTTTTAACCATTTTTGGCCTGTTTTCATGACTTTTCACCCCGAATTCACGTTAGTGGATAATTTTAATTAGACTTAAGTGATTTTACAGGTGTTTTTGTAAATTCTGCTTTGCACTGTGGACTGCATATTTAATTTGCGCTTTGAATTTTTCGATCACGTCCGGAGTTAATTTATTGAAATTTTTTAGCCAATCAGTTTCGATGAAGAAGCTTAGCACCCTCTGCAAATGGGTACCAGCCTAGGAGTTTTAAACTGTAAATTTTTTTCCCCTTCTGTTATTATCAAAACCTTGTATACAAGCAGTTAAATTGTAATTTTTTATATTAGTCACCTCGTTTTGCATCGACACAACCCAAGCTTCATGGCGAAAATTCAGGTTAAAAGATCACTTCGGCGAAGCAATTATCTGGAAGGTTCAATGCAAATGAGTTTTCTTTAACCAATCACGGAAGAGTTGCGTAAGCATTAATTTGAGTTAGGAGGATGTGTTGCTGGTCAGTATAAAATCCGGGAGTGACAACAATATTTGGAGAGTGCGTTCCTGATACTGCAATGTGAAGTTGCACGAAGATTGTTGAAGATTAAAGCAAGTTTAAAGAAAGAAAGTAACGACTCGTTTGTTGAAGAAGAACCAGCTAGTTCTCCATAAAAGGTTCTTCCAACATTACAAGCAAATCCGTGCCCCCACCCACTGTATTAAAGTTACTGTGAGGACAGTTATATCTGCCCACCTCCAGTGGATTTTTTGCTGTGTCGCAGGATTTGCAAAAAGTTAAAAATGTATTACACTGTACAGAGCCTGGGATGAGCTTTTCAATGTAATCTCGATATTATTGGATGTGGCTTCCAGTCAGTGGCGTCATTCAAAATACCTCCACATTGATAGCCGCCATCAAAATTCTGAAACTTCCCCAAATGGAGCAAAAATTAACTGAGACGTTTTTCCTCTACGACATTTTATTTGAAATTTGCCGACGCTGTCGTCTTCAAAATGTTGTCCCGCTGATCAAGTTAGCTTAGGAAACAATAAACACGTCGTAAACATTGGTTGAGAGAGAGGAGGAAGGGTCCGGAATGTCTTGGTTTCAAAACTCTACCCCATCTGACAGCTTAACAATTCTCACATCAGTTTTGTTGTCAGTTCGAGCCATTTTCATGCTTTTCACGACAAATGCACCAAAGAATGAACACCAGAGAGGTTTTAGATATGTTCATTTTCTTAGGATCAATCGCATTATAGATAAAGAAAAGTCAGCGAGCCGCAAAACCGCAAATTAATAACGGTTGCAACTTCCAGAACAAGTTTCCCACATTTCGTTGGTCTCTTCCCTCGACGCATGACATTGCAGAAGTAATTTTGGAGTTCATAGTTTTCTGAGAATAATAATCACAATAAAAATAATTAAAATTTGTAACGCCCTGGTTCCATACAGATTTTCTGAATTTAATAGTTATTGTTTAAAAAATTGTGCGAAAAACTCACTTTTCTGCTTTTCAATGGCCTGCCCTTTTGTCACTGATGAGGCCATGTACTGTAACCATAATAACCAAACACCGTCCCACTTTGTATAAAATGTGTATATTTGCAGTATTGGAACCCCCATAATGTATTATCTGCAATAATTAGCAATTAATGAATGAGGCTGAGTAGGATATGACGAATTAAGCAGATCGAGACACCCTCCGAGATCTGCGTAATTCTTCATATCCTACGAAAGCCGAATTCATTAATTGCTTTATTCTTCATTCAAAATAATTCCTAGTTTAAAACATAGCTGAAACATGTTTACCTGCATCGATGTTAAATTCATCTTCGATAGTGTACGTTTAGTTTCTCCAATTAACTCAACCTCGTCCCCAGGTCTTCTCGGTAACGGTGCCTTAACCTGCAGCGGGCTGCATTTTTGACGTCATTTCCTCGTTAAACACAAAATTCTCCCAAATTTGGTCATCAGCAACTGGTTATGGTGAATTATGCGTGTGCTTTTAGCCAATCACAATTGGGGAAATGTTTTGAATGAATAATAAGAATAGTTGGAAAGTAATGCCAAATGAATTCCCTCTTGATTATTTTCGCTCATAAACATGATCATTTCCATTTTATAGGTCAGTCTAAAGAACCTCTCTAGGAAAGCTTTCTTGCAAGTGGATGAAAAATCTGGATTTAATCTACTCCAGGCGGCTGTCTTTGAAGAAAAATACAACCTTGTTCTAGAAGCTAGTGGCCTTTTTGACAACTTTGTAGAAGAGATGGAACTTACAAAAACGGGAAAAAACGCCAAAGAATTTATAGGAAAAACGGCAGTTGACTTCTTGTCACTTAGAAAGAGAACAAACCCAATTCATGTTGATATCGAAAGGATTTATGACAAATTGGCCGAGCACAACAGCAGACTGACTGAGCTGCAGTGGGGTACATGCGACGATAATGTGGAACAGGCAGTTGAACTTGTATTGAATAACGGAGTAGATATTAATGCCTCAGGATCAGACAATGATTGCACAGCCTTGCTGCATGCCAGTCGGTCATCCTCAAGTCAGGTTATTGAGACCCTCATTGATCTTGGGGCCGACGTTAATGCCCAAAGGAGAAAAAGCAAAGAAACACCACTAATGTTAGCAGCTGACTGGAACAACTACATGGCAGCAAGCTTAATTCTAAGACATGGAGCTGATGTAAATGTCCATATTAGTAATGGGCTCACGCCACTGCACGTTTCAGTCAATAAAAGTCACGAAAACCTTGTCAGATTGTTACTTAAACACAACGCAAATGTAGATATTCAAACTACTTATGGATATACACCCCTTCGCCAGTCATTCTTAAAAGGTAAGGAAAGCCTCTGTAGACTGTTAGTTGAACACAAAGCGGATGTAAATATTCAAGATAAAGATGGATATACACCCTTGCACTGGTGTGCCTTCAGGGGTAACGAAAACCTCTGTAGATTTTTACTTGAACGCAACGCGGATGTAAATATTCAAGATAATCATGGATATACACCCTTGCACTGGTGTTCCTTAATGGGTAACGAAAACCTCTGTAGATTGTTACTTGAACACAATGCGGATGTAAATATTCAAGATAATCATGGATATACACCCTTGCACTGGTGTGCCCTCAGGGGTAACGAAAACCTCTGTAGATTTTTACTTGAACACAACGCGGATGTAAATATTCAAGATAATCATGGATATACACCCTTGCACTGGTGTTCCTTAATGGGTAACGAAAACCTCTGTAGATTGTTACTTGAACACAATGCGGATGTAAATATTCAAGATAATCATGGATATACACCCTTGCACTGGTGTGCCTTCAGGGGTAACGAAAACCTCTGTAGATTTTTACTTGAACACAACGCGGATGTAAATATTCAAGATAATCATGGATATACACCCTTGCACTGGTACTCCTTAATGGGTAACGAAAACCTCTGTAGATTGTTACTTGAACACAATGCGGATGTAAATATTCAAGACAATCATGGATATTCACCCTTGCACTGGTGTACCTTCAAGGGTAACGAAAACCTCTGTAGATTTTTACTTGAACACAACGTGGATGTAAATATTCAAGATAATCATGGATATTCATCCTTGCACTGGTGTGCCTTCAGGGGTAACGAAAACCTCTGTAGATTGTTACTTGAACACAATGGGGATGTAAATATTCAAGATAATCATGGATATACATTCTTACACTGGTGTTCCTTAATGGGTAAGGAAGAGCTCTGTAGATTGATACTTGAACACAACGCTGGTGTAAATATTCAAGATACATGGGGATATACACCCTTGCACTGGTGTGCCAGAGAGGGTAACGAAAACCTCTGTAGACTGTTACTTGAGCAAAACGCGGATGTAAATATTCAAGATAATCTTGGACATACACCCTTGCACTTGGGTACCATAGAGTGTAACGAAAACCTCTGTATATTGTTACTTGAACACGACGCGGATGTAAATATTCAAGATGATGATGGATATACACCCTTGCACTGGTTTGCCTTACAGGGGAAGGAAAACCTCAGTAGACTGTTACTTGAACACAACGCGGATGTAAATATTCAAGATAATAATGGATATACACCCTTGCACTTGTGTGCCTTAATGGGGAACGCAAACGTCTGTATATTATTACTTGAACACAACGCAAATGTAAATACTCAAGATGAAGATGGATATACACCTTTGCACTGGTGTGCCAGAGAGGACAACCAAAACCTCTGTAGATTGTTACTTCAACATAACACGGATGTAAATGCTCAAGATGAGGACGGATATACACACTTGCACTGGTGTGCCGTAACGGGGAACGAAAACCTCTTTTGATTCTTACTTGAACAAAACGCGGATGTAAACATTGAAGATAATCATGGACATACACCCTTGCACTGGAGTACCAGAAACGGTAACGAAAACCTCTGTAGATTGTTGCTTGAACACAACGCGGATGTTAATATTCAAGATAAACGAGCACCTTTCAGCTTTTAACAGCAATTGCAGTAGGATAATCGATCTCCTAGTGAAATATAGGGGTGCAAAATATCAACATCTGTTACGCAGAAGGTAGGTCTCCCCTTCAAATGGCAGTGAGACGTACTAGCACCAGCTGTGAAAAAGATTGCTTATCTAGGAGTTGATGTTAATTTGGTAAAAGCAGAGAAAAACGATGCCATTAGACTGGAACGTTAAAAAATGAACCGGAAAGGATGTAGGAACTTCTTAAGTTTAAAAAGGAATTTGCGCAAAAAGACTTTGTTCAGGGCGCTAAGCATCTCAAATCAAAGAAAATGCTGAGGAAATCCCTTCCGTAAACACAAAGGAAATAGAGAACGACCCGAAAGCTGAATAATTGCAGACACTAGCAGTGGGCCATCCCAAATCAAACTATCCAACCTCATGAAGTTTGCAGGAAGCTTTTGGTATTTCAGCCTTTCAGACCAGGGACGTGACAAGGTGCTTTGTCGTATCCTGAAAGAAGTCACCTATGAATAAGCGGAACCTGTCAGCACAACTTTTAACGCATTCCTTGCTACTGGAATTGTTCCTTCTATTTGGGAAGATACAAACGTCACAACAATCCCAGAGACCCAGTTTCCTACAACTGAAGGTGATTTCAGACCTATATCTCTAAAGCCCTGTCTGTTTAAGGTTTTTGAGGACTTTGACGTCACATGGATGATTGACGATGTACCTTTTAAAAAAGGTACATCCACGGCGTTTTGCCTCCTAGACATGATGCACACCTGGTCGTCTTATCTACGTAGATTCACCTGAGGACAAGCACAGTGAACTATGTATGACGACTTTTGTAAAAACTGCAAAAGGCACGCCCTTGTTAAAACATCTAACCACTAACAGGACTATCACCGCCCATGACGGTGGACGTGTTTTAATGTAAAACTGAGCGTTTTAGGCGAGGCTTCTTCCCTAGTACCATTCTAATGGAAAACGCAACATCTTTTTGAAGTTAATGTAATTCTTAATCTACTATTTGTACTCAGGTTAGTATAATTCTAGTAGGAATGACTGAACCATATTCTTGTAGGTTTCACTATTTTTAATTATATTGTAAACTCCAGTCCCAATAAGGTTTTTGTATTTTTCTGCATATTGTAAACACATTGTAATAGGCCATTTTACAGCTATGGTGGAAGCGAGGCTGGAGGTGACCTTGTTTTAATACAGACCTTCCTGTTTTATTGTGTAAGTCAAGTCAGGTTCCTATGCTAACTAGTATTTTTCAAGGACAATTTCCATAACAAAGCAAAGGAGGTTTGTATCAAAACAAGGTCACCGTCAGCCTTACATTCACTCGAAGGCTAGGGTACTAAGTCCACAACTGTAAAATAGCCTATTCATGATTATGATTGTGATTATGATTATTATTATTATCTATTTTTAAATAATAATATAAACTAAGTTTTCTATTTTAAACGAAAGGGATTGTAAATAGTGTTTTGACGGAATAGTTTTTTTAAGTTAATTGTAAAAAAATATAACATAACATAACATACATGTTTATTCAAACTCATATAAATTTGAAAGGGAGAGTCTAGAGGTTAACCCTATGAATAAAACTCTCCTAAAAACAACAAACAAACAATGAAAATTACAACTTTAAAAAGGATTTGAGTTTACATTTAAAAAGTTCAAGGGTACCGGCTTCAACAACATTACTAGGTAAATTGTTCCAATAACTAATTACATTGTTAAAAAAAGAATATTTAAAACAGTTGATTCTAGATAATTTACAATAAAGCTTATACGAGTGATTTGCCCTAGTGGATTTGACTTTTGCGAATTGAAAGAATTCCTCAAAATCCAAGTGTGATAAGCGAAACACGATCTTATAACATTCAACAAGAGAGGAATATGTCCTACGACTGGACAAAGATGGCCAATGTAACGTGTCACAACGCTCTTCATAAGACATATGACCTCTTTTTTGCCTAAGACCCAATCTTGAAGCCCGTCTTTGCACGCTCTCTATTGCATGAATATCTTTGACAAGATATGGGTTCCAGACTGGAGCAGCATACTCTAGAAGTGGTCTGACCAATGTTTTGTAAAGCAATGAAAAAGTTGTTGTATTAGCTGTTCCAACAGACCATCTTATTAGCCCTAGGACTTGGTTCGCCTTATTCACCATAGTACTAATAATTATGTTCACTCCAAGTAAGATCTTTTGATATAATAATTCCAAGATCTTTAAAGCTCTTGACATCTTTTAAGGCCGTACCTAGTTTATAATTCGTAGTCGATTTATCACGAGAATGCGTTATTCGCATTGCTTCACACTTTTCCTCATTGAAACGAAGTTGCCATTTTTGCGCCCATTTACCAAGATTATTCAAATCAGTTTGAAGGTATTGTTCATCGAGGCTAGGGTTGCGAAGCTCTCTGTAAATCTTTGTGTCATCCGCAAATAATTTAATTTTTGAAGAGACACTATCAACGATATCATTTATATATGATAGAAATAAAATTGGACCAAGAATAGTTGATATATATTATTATTGTTGTTATTATTATTATTTTTATTATTATTATTATCTCTTTTATCACAGTCTTTGCTGGTGTTCTTTTTGTGCATCAGCCGGGCGCAAACCATGCACCTAGAGCGTCAGTCACTCAAGTCAATCATTCTGTTCATACACTGAGCACCTTTCTGACGATTCAGACAGATCCCATCATGCAGATCTTTTGAATCTCTGTCATGATAGTAGCTCTCTCTGATACTTTCTTGATGTTTTCTACCATACCCTTCTTCACTGTACCAAGTGCACCAACAACCACAGGGATCACTACGGTTTTCATATGCCACATTCTCTGTATTTCTGGTTCTAGGTCTTTGTAATTGCTTTTTTTTTCAGTTTCCTTCAGTGCGATGTTTCTATCTGATGGAACAGTCATATCAATCAGTTTGCAGGTGAATTCACTGAACCTTTAACGATGACTTCTGGTCTGTTCGCTGTTATAGTTCTATCAGTATTGA